AAAGCAAGTAATTTAAAAATCATTTTATCATCTAGGTACGTCTTTTTTCCATAGTTCGTTTTTTTTATTCGTCTCAATAGCTTTATTTTTATTCGCTTTTGATTTACAGCCATTTTAGCACTAAAAGTATGTCTTTGCTGTTTGATCCTCATAAACACTATTATAATATAGTGTTTATTGTTTTTGTAATGCCACTGTCATTGAAAAGTCATATTATTATTGTTTATTGATCTTTACTCTTCTAGAGATGATTTTAAGTTTTGAATTATCGGCTATTGCTGATTTAATTGATCATAGTAGAGATCAACATTTGGACTTAAAAACATTTCTGCTAGAGAAACTGCCCAACAGACAATAATAATATTGTTTTTCAAAGACACACATTAAATATATCATAAACACTATTTTATAGGCCTATTCACTAGGAGCAAAAGCAAAGGTATTGCTTTAATGTAAAAAATACGAAAAAATGCTAGTGTCTTCTTTAAAACCGAATATCTCCAAAAAAATGAAGCTATTGAGATGAACCAAAAAGCAAACTATCGAGAAAAGATACACCTAAATGTTAAAATGATTTTCAAATTCCTTGCTTTGTTAATATACTCCACAGAGCGTTTCAAACTTTTAGAAAAATATCAACATTTTGTATTCCCTTGTATAATTGACATATGGCAACTTTGAATTTCACTTTAGAAAGGGATATTAAAAAGTCAAATAATTTAACTACAAACTGCTTAAAAAATCATCCAAATCGGTCCACTAGAACAAAATATATAAAACTTGAAAATACATGAAAAGTTTAAGGTGCCCGTTTTTCTTGTCGGTGAGTGTAGTATTAAACCAGAAATCACAAATAAAGTTAAATATCTCTAAAACTATAAAGCCCATAAATACAGAAAAAAACTGAAAATCAAATACATATTTATTAGAAATAGCAAGAGAGATAAGATAAAATAATATGTAAAAGTCAAGGTTTTTCTTTTTCAAATAAAACTCCCAAAAATAAAAAAATCTTTGGATATAAACAAAATTCATCTTCAAGTAGGTACACAAATTTTAGTGAAAATAAAGAGTCCCTTTTTAATATCAATTAATAAAAGTAAATTAATATTCTTGCGGTTTATATCAAAGCTATAATAAATATATAAAATTAGTTCTAATGAGATTACTACTATCATTTTATCGAACAACCGCATTTCAGGATCCTCGACCACATCCGGCAACGCCGCGCATGCTTCTCAAGCTCGAAGCATGATGAATCATTATTGGTTCGAGCAGAATCCCCCCTCCCCGCGCAAGGTCGCTCTCGCGTTATCACTATATATACCTGGAGGCGCGAAACTGGTCACTATATAGTGACTCGGTCTCGTACAAGACACACTGTTGTCAGTATTTGTTATTATGTGAATGCAATTATAGTCTTGTCAAATCAAAGTAATAAAACTACCGAGTCAGTCGACTTATGTTCATTAATCTTTTTGTCTGTAGATAGTGACCAGATAGGTCGATATCACTACTCCATCCACAACGCACTGATAAGTGATAAGAAGACTTTAATAGTGCTTTTTGCTAATACATTTTTAAATCGTCTTAGTTTTGTGTTAACGAAAAAAACTGTCGCATATAAACTTTAGTTTTTTTGTGTAATTTAACTTGTGCAAACACGATGCTTCTGCAGAAAAACTCTTCGAAGGGACGAATTGTGTCCATGGAAACGCAGGATGGAGTATCCAAGATGCAACATGTATATATCACATGTTTTTATTTTAATTTTAATAATTTTTAAAATTTTTCTCATTATGCTAGATTTTTTTTTGCAAGTTATCAGATATCAATCTTATCAAATGATTAGAAATTGATATAGACTTGTCTACTTATATTTTGTTTTTATCAAATTAACTTGACGCATGATAATGTATATATTTTTTCAAAAAAATACATTTTTATTTTTTTGAAAAAATATATAGGTAAATTATAAATGTAGTAGTTATATTTGAAAGAAGTCATTTTTTTTTCTTTTTAGAAGGGTTTTAGAAATACATTTTTAAAATAATTTTTCTTTTTGTCTTTTCAAATTGTATTAAAATTTTTAAATTGTTTTGATCAAATTAACTTAACATAAGTAAAAAAAATAATTAATGATTTAGATTAATTAACTTAATTTTTTCTTCAATAAATAATTTTTTTGGTATAATATATTTCAAATAAACTATACGTATATACTTTTTTATTTTTAGAAAGATTTTACAAATCAATTTTTAAATAATATTTATTTTTTTTTCCTTTTGTCTTCAAATATTTAAATTTTTAAATTATTTTGATCAAATTAACTTAACATAATTTTTTATTACTTACAATTTTTTTTCAAAAAGTAATAATTTAGTTTGTATGAATATTTCAAACAAACTATTCATACTTGTTTTTATTTTTAGAAAGATTTTACTAAAATATTTTCTATGATAGGCATTTATTTTTTTTTCTTTCGTCTTCAAATATTTAAATTAAAATTTTTAAATTGGTTTGGAACAAATTAACTTAAGAACATTTTCTATTAATTAAAATTTTTCTTCAAAAAATTTCAAGCAAATTATAGATATTTTTTTATTTTTAGAAAAATTTTATAAATCAATTTTTAGAAAAATTTCAATGATATGTATTTAAAAATATTTTTTTCTTTTGGTTCTTTCAAATGTTTAAATTAAAATTTTAAAGATTAAAATTATTAAAATAATAAAAAAATATAGGTAATTAATTTCTATTAATTATAATTTTTTTTATCAAAAAAAAATAATTTCTAATTTCAAACAAATTATACATTTTTTCTAGAAGTATTTTATAAATCAATTTAAATATTTTCAATAATATGATTCTTGCATTTTTTTGTTTTTGTCTTTTCAAATATTTGAATTTTTTTTTATTTATTTTCATTTAATGAGTTATAATTAAAATGTTGTATTTACTAAGGTTAATATAAAGTATAATATTTTCACAATCAAAAATTATTTCACAATATTTTGAAATTCAAACAAAAATCAATAGGTATCTTTTTTTTCATAAAAAGCAAATACTTTCTGTTGATATAACTTGAAGTTTCATTTAAATTTAAATATTTTTAATACATTATTTCCATTTCATTTTGATTTTATTAAGTTTAATTATTTTAATTTGTAATTTTCATTTCTTTTTTATTCTAATATAAATTTATTTTACATTTCTTCATAAAAGATGATATTTTTCTGATACCTGAACAATACTTCGAATTATATATTTTAAGAAAAATGTTAATTTTAATATTATGTTTTACAAATGCGAAGTTTAAATTTAGTATATTTTATTAAATTATTGAATTTAACTTCATAATATAATTAATAATTTAATTAATATTTAGAAGATTTTGGTAGTATAATTAAAATAAAATATTTTGCATTCTTTAAAAAAACTAAATATTTATTTTATTTTATTTTATCGAATTATTAAATTTTTATATATAATATATTTTTATATATATATTTTATTTTAATTTTAGGCGATTTTAATTCTTTCATATTGATGTGAATATTTTTAGATAGCTTCATTATATGAAGTTTAATTTTTTAATGATGGATTTTTCTAGCGATTTTAAAAATTTTCATTACTTTTTTATCAATTTTGTAATACCTTTAATAGGGGGGAATATATTTTCTTAGAAATTACTTAAAATTAAATGTATTTTTACAACTTATTGAAATTTACATTTAATATTACACATCACACTTTAGATTTTAATCGAATTAAAATTTATTAACTAATTAAAAAATGCGGATTTTTCTTCATTTTAATATGAAGCTAAGTTAATTAACTTTGTTTTTAAATTTATATATTAAATATATTATGTAATAAGTTCCACCTTGCTTTTCAAATTTTTAAAATTTTCAATTTCTTTTCGAATTGAAGATAGAAATTGGACTAAAATTTTATAATAAATAGGTAGTTTTCTACTTCAACCATAAAGGTTATTAATTATTTTAGTTGAAAACAAACGTTCTTATATCTTTTAATTATTTTTATTTTTTTTTCTAATAAATAGATATTATCATATTTCATTAATGAAAACTAATATTTCTTTTAGCTCAAGACAAGTGTATTTTATTATGAACATCGTCAAGCTCCAAATATGAAGACTAGAATCAAACTTATGCAGAACCACAGACTAACTTATATCCATTTTTTTCATGATTGTTATTCATTATTACTCTTTAACCATTTTTTTACTAACTGGATCAGAGTATAAAATTTCCATACTCATTTTAGTTATTTATTGTTTTGTAGGTAAATAACTATAATAAGTTGACACAACCCAATGTTAATGTTCTAACACGAGTTTTATTCTTGGTTGGAACATTTGGAACTATAACTTGACGGATTTCACATTTTTATATTAATTTTAGGATTATATCCCACAAAGACTTTTTGTGGTGCTAACCACAATACAATATAATATAAAGTAAGTTTTGATTGCAACGAAAAACCTAGCATGATACTCCGTATTTGTTAATACCTACATTAAAAAAATAGTTATATACCTATGGTGAGAAGTGAGCCACCATTGATCAAGCACTTTTATATCTCGTGATATATAACTGTGCAATATAAATATATTTAATATAATTTTCTCACCCGAGGTATATAGATTTTTTACTACTAAAACTAACTTCGAAATATTATCGCTCTCTATCTGAATATTATTTTAAAAATAATTAATATCTCCTATTATTATTAATAATAACTTATAACGATTTTGCAATCAATTTTTGATAATTTTTATTATCCCATTCCATTTTCTAGAGTTTATTTCTCATGTTCGCGTTGTTCTTAGCCTTGAATTAATAAGGATTCACTATGATTATTTTACCTAAGGAGAGAAGTAGTAGTTAGTAGTAAAAAACACATTTTTTGAAGGCAACGAATATTAAAATACTGTCGAATAACCTTTACTAATACAGTTTTTCACTTCGTTTCAGCAGGTGAGTTCAAAATCACTAAATATGCCACAAAACGTCGATATACAATTGAAAATGGAAGAGTTCGGCGACTTGTCGGGCCTATTGCCCGCCGCGACTACCAATGCAAATTTAATCGATTGTATAGATGAACTAAACACCCCAATATTCGGTGAGTATACCCTAAATTAGCCCCCATCGAATACCTAGCCTAAGAGAACTATTTAGATTAAATATAGAAACGATACAGCATACCACCTTTAGAAGTTCCGCAAGATATAAAGACTGTTCAGTCATCGTTCACCGTTACGTCATCATTATTTGTCTAATAAGAGTTTTAGGATGTGTCTGGGAACAGTTCATATTGTTTGGAATATTTTATGTACAATATGAAATATATTATTAATTGAGCGAGTTCCGTTTTTTTTGACATTTTTTCTTGTATTCTTCATCAGTTACGATCTTTTGGAGTGTTGAAATTCTTATTTCTAAAGCATCAGCAACTCGCAATTTGTATTTTACATAGGAATATTACACATTTGCATTTATTACTTCATATACGGCGTCCACGGGCAAGAGTGTTCTATCAGCGTCTCTTTTTCTCTTGAAAAGCAATTTATAAGCTTAGCAATGAGCTCCTATTCATTTTGGTAAAATATTTAAGGCATTTTTACAATAGAAAAATTTGAATTTTGTTTTACAGCAACAATCAAGTTTTTATTTTGACATTGATCGATGTCCGTCAATAAAATTATAACACCAAATCAAATGACAATGATAATTACTAAAAGGAAATTTTGACGTTGATCGATGTCTGTCAATAAAATTACGACCCCAAATCAAATGACAATTACTAAAAAGAATATGCAGTAATTTACGAAATGCAGTAATGACTTCGCCAATCTCTTTCATCTGGTTGGCAAGTGATTGAGGGAGTTCGACAATATATGACGTGACGTTAAACGATAGCTAAACATTTTATATATCAGAATCCGCTGCTTGTTTGTCAGAGTTATTAACAAAAAATGTGTGTATTATGCAGACATAATATTCGAATACTATAGAGGTGGTATAACCGTAGTTGCTGAATCGTTTAGTCTATTTAATCTAATAATAAATCGTAAATATAACATACTAATGGAGGATTGTTTTTCTTTTCCTTTCAGATAAAGACCCCTTCGATTTTTTCCTGCAAGGATCAAAACTTGATGACAAAATGACGACGACAACAACACCATCGTCAAACGATCTAAAAGTTAAAGTCGAATACAACGCTCACGTGTACCAGTGGCCTTCACTTCAGGCCCGTGCCGGACACGATCCAACTAGCATTAGTGTGGGCGCCAAACACCAGGAGATGTTCTTATATCAACCCCAAGCCAACGCCCACAACAACGTATTCACTTATAATAATAAAACAACAACAACACCGAACAACGCTAATCCTTTTATGGATCCAGATATTTATCGACAACCAACGGCATTAGATAGTTTAAGTGTTAATAGTAATGTTAAGTACAGTAGTAGTTCTAACGTACCGTCACCGCAAGACGATCAATATTCTTATATTTCGTCGTCAGCCGATGAGCAGCAGCTCGGCAGCCCGTTCGACGGTCACATGGACGTCAAGCCCAAGCTCAACCTCATGATCGACGAGTTCAGGTTCCCCATCAAGGAGGAGGCTTCCTCGACTCTCAACACTCCAGATGTCATCGACGATGTCGTCAACATGGGGACTGAATTTAATTTACTCGATTTAATTAATAATGAGGTAAGTACCTATTAATTAAGTTTTTTGGCCATATTCAGCGTCAGCTGGATTGGTAGACGATAAAATCTTCCTAACTGAAGTCACGATTATAAAGCATACAATGAAATGTATATCATAGAATTAAGAATTATGAAACAAATTTTTATACAATATCTAACAAAATTATTAATATTACTATAAATTATTATATTCTGACCATTTTTGTAAATCTTAGGGTGGATTTTAATGTATCCGTCATCCGTTGATACGGTCATCAGACGGTGCCCCCTGATTGGTTACAGTGCTTTCGCGCCACTTTTCATCTCAACACCTGTTCGTCAGCGGAGATATTTGAAAAATTTAACTTTTCGTACAATAACGGATGTTTTGACAAATGTAATCTAACCTTACTTTTCTGTTGACAAATTTGGGATATTTATCCCTATCATTAAGTGATTATTATCTTTCCAGTTTATATCTACAACATTTTTTATACATTTTAAGGAGCAGTAAAACAATTAAATAATAAATGATAAATAAAACTAACGCAGACCTTTAGGACATGAAAACAAATAACGAATTCTATTGGAATTTTATTATGAATTTTGATCGTCAAATATTTTTGGTCGAAAACTACGGAATTTTCTAACCAATCAGTGTTTTTAAATTCAACCAATAAAATTAATATCGTATCGTAAACGAAAAACTAGCCTATCTTTAAATTAAATTGACAGTCAATTGTCAATTATGTCAACATGACGTAATGTCATAATACCAGGCTGAGTCTTAAATAAGTGCAAATATTTTTAGGACTGGTAGATCTCGATAAAGAAACATATTTGCTCTTTATCGTTTTTCAAATAGGTCCAAAATAATAGTTATCTTTCTTGGAAAATTTGAAAAAAAAATATTTTTTGCTTAAATTTTGAGAACCACTAGGCCTTTTCTGGTTTTTCTTTTTTGTAAATTTAATCAACTACCTTTATTGTCATATTATCAAGAAATTATGTTTCTAAGTAAAAACTAAATAAAAATCACGAAAAACCTCATAGACGTGTTACTGGGATAGATACTACCCCTAAAAATATTTGAACTTATTTAAGACTCACCCTGTATATTAATAGCGCGATATATAAAATACCCAAATAACTAAAATTTACGAAAATATATTCAGGACAAAAGAATAAAAAATTGATAAACACTCTGTTTACAGAAGCTATATTTATTCTTTGACACGAATGGCAGATCAGCTAACAGACTAGTCACTAAGAAAATTAAAAACATTAAAACATACAATAAAAAGAAGTTAAGCAAATATAAAAATATTAATTTTATTATCAATTAAAATGTAAAAGTCTGTACAAGGTCATAATTTTACCTCTTTTTATTAAAATTATTAGCAAAATTTTCAGCCAACCAGACATTCAAATACCGACTAGCTTAATAAACTTTTATATAAGAACTAAAGAATATACACATGCTATTTATACTGTTTCTAGTATAGGCAAAAATAATATTGAGTAATATATGTATTTCATATTGTAATAAAGTTCATTTAAACAACTTAAACTTAAATAACAAGAAATCTAGATTTCCTATTTGTGATGCATGCAGTACCACATGTTATTTTTTTATATTATTATTTCTGAACATGTATGCTATTTAAAAATTAACAATTGTAAATAGAAAAAATACAATAGTCCTAAAGCTTCATTAATAATTGTTGCAAAAACATATTAAAAAAATTGTATATGTTTTTGCAACAAACTAAGATATACTAATTAAAACATTCATTTTTTATTTCAGGACATCACCATCCTAAGCACTGACGAAGATCTCAATTCCACATTAGTCTGCCCTACCGAAATCAGCACTCCCCTCTCACCTCCATCCACCCCCTCCACCGCAGAAAGCAAACCCTCCTCCCCTCCAGCAAAGAGGCCCAGGAAACGCAAGACCTTCTTCGATGAGGACGACGATGAAGACTACATCCCTCCAACAAAGAGAAAATCCACCGTATCTCTGAAAGAAATCGACCTCAACTACGCAGACGAGCACGACTCCAGCGAGGACGATTCCGACTACGAAGTGAGGAGGAAATCACCGAAAAAAGTCAAATCGACCAAACCCAGAGGCAGGCCTCCAAAGCGTACAGACTCCATGTCAAGCGAGTGCTCCAAAGACTCCGAACTCTCGAAGTATCGAGAGCTCCGAGACAAGAACAACGAGGCCTCGAGGAAGTCGCGTCTGAAGAGGAAAGTCAAAGAGTTGGAGTATGAGAAAGAGGCTGACGAGTTACACGTTAAAAACATTCGGCTCAAAGCCCAAGTGGAGGAGCTGGAAAAAATGGTCAGCACTTTTAGAAACAACCTCTTTAAGATCCTAGTTAATAAGTAAGCAGGTATAGACAGGTTTTGCTCTGTAATTGATCGATATTGCATCTGTTCCACTACTAACCTCGATTATTTTATCCAATTATGTTGTTATACAATATATGTATCGTTGTAATAAGTACTACTAACTTAATAAAAAAAGGAAAGATATATCGATCAATTAGGGAGCTTAACGCCTACTTGCAAATGTGTGCATCTGTGATAGATTTTGACAATGTGCGAACAACAAACCATATATATTTTGAAACGTTTGTTGTTCAAAAGATGTCATTTTTTAGTATGCAAGTTTCCTTACTTAGCCATATTGGCTTACTTGGCTATATTTATACAGATAAGCTAGCTTGTAATAATTGTAAACTTTAAGATTTTTTTCATTGAGATACTATATTGTAATATTGTATAGGACTTTTAAGCAAAAGAATGCTATATTTAAAAATAAGAATACATGAAATTGTCACTATACAACATCATTTTTACTCTTAAATATAACAAGAATAACTGACTTTATATCCTTTACAGATATTTTGTATTTAACAAAAATATTTTTATATGCATTTAAAACTTTTTAGGTTAACTTCCTTACTAGCAGTTTCTATTACGATGCTAAAAGGCACAAAATTCTCTACTGTGATTATTAATAATTGTTATTACATACAGATATAAAGTTGTTTAAACTGTTTTCTTTTGCAATTTGTTTATCTCAAAATCTATCAAAGTAGTTTTAAGTTTTTGTGTACCTGCTTTACTTATATACATTTTTTTTACTTTTCTATTTTATTCGCTCTTAAAGAGTTGTTTTTAATTATTAAGTGAACAAACATCCCTGTATTTTAAGTGTGAGATGACAGTTTAGTGATGTTCAGTGATCGAATTGGAATGAGAACAAGGTGCGGTTATTTTTACTTTATAGTATATAGTTTTATAATTCCAACACACTATGTAAACGAAAAAAGATAAGAAAACTAGATATATCTGGATTCAAAAAGTATATATCTGCATTGATTATTTAATTATGATACCAAGTATAATTATAATGGTTTTTCTAGCTATATGTTTATAGATTAAATGAAGTGAGATTTGAAACAACTTATATATTATAATCAAAGATGTAAAAGAAAAAGAAATTATGTATTTTTATAATTGGTTATTGTTGGTTTACTGTTAAATAGAATTAATTTGTTCATTACTTAAAATACTGATTTTTAACATCTTTAAAAGATTTTTTTTGGTTGACACTTTAATATATTATATGTAATGGTCTATGTTCATTAATAAAGAAACAAAAAATATTTTTGCTCTGCAAACACGTTGTTTTTAATTCATTACCTTTTAATATACTATGTATAAAAAATAATTAAAAATATATAATAAAATAAAGTAAAATATATAAACAAAAGATGTTATCGTGGGGACTATAATAAAAAAGAATGAAATTATTGTGCAACCTACAGTAAGATTAGCCATGGAACATGGCTAAAATACGACTACCCGTAGACACTTAGCGTTTCTGTCTTCGGGCTTCATCAATACGAGAGGAATCAGCAACGATGAACTAGCGATCCTGAAAAAAGAAAAAGAGGAAGCAAACGAGGCACTAGGCCAAAGTTTACAGAATATATTCTGTAAACTTTGACTAGGCACCATTTGCAACCTGGTTAAGCAGTAGCTCACAATTCGCAAGCGTTACTACAGAAAAACCGCTGCGGAGGTACTTCAACATACCTCGCCGCTATCACCTTGGCGCAGAGAAAACAATAAACAAAAGATGTTATCGTGGGGACTATATTGTAAGAAGAATGAATATTGGCACCCCATACAGCTATGGCAATGTTCCATAGATGCAAGTTTCTGCCTTCCGGCTTCATCAATACGAGAGGAATCAGTGATGAAGCCGGAAGGCAGAAACACTAAGTGTCTACGGGTAAGTCGTATTTAGCCATGTTCCATGGCTAATCTTACTGTAGGTTGCCCAATAATTTCATTCTTCTTTTGTAAAATATATAGTTATAACACAATTACTGTCCTCCATTTACGCAGTTGTGCAGCTCTGAACTGTTCAAGAACGCAATACTCTCATTCCATTCAATTGAGTCATAAAGTTCAGAACTGTTCCGCGCCATATGGAGGCATCAGGCTATCGCGCACAGCTCCTTTCAGAACCGTTCTCGAGTAGCCCAGGGCGTAAAGCTCTGGAACTTGAAATTCGCATGGAGGACAGCAATTGATAAATAGTATACACCTAATATAAAGAATAAAGTTTAAAAATATGTATTTTATAACCCACTAAAAAATTTTACAACCTAATAAAAATGAATAAAAAGAAATCAGTAATACTACAAGTATGTAAACTAGTGGAGTAGTTAACACATTTCAGAAAAATATTTGGAATTCTTACAGTATAATACCGTATGATCGAAAAAAAACGGCGTCCAGTTGGTTGGGAAATGACGATCGATAACATTTCCCCTATAAATTTACATATAAAATGACAGCGATTCCATCGCTGACTGACGCCGCTTTTTTTTTCAACCATACAGTAGTTTAACTTTATAAAATGAACACTGCAACCAAAAGGTATTCCTCTTCCAAAATAAATTGAAATAATAAGAATCTATATTAGTCCAGGAGGCAATGAATATTTTTGGTACTTATTTTCCCAGTCAGCAAACACCGATAGAATTATTCGGTATCTTATTGTAAGCAAATTTCACATCTTAGACAAGGAAAGAGAGGGGACGGGTAACACCTTGGTAACACGGCAGCTGAAAGTGAGGCAAGTTGTCACCACGCGAAATTCTCCAATGGCGTAGCATCATAAATTAGCTTGTACCTAGACGGTCCAAATATTTATTAAAACGTAAACTAATATATCGTTCATTTTTGAGTAATGCCTATACAATATTGTATTTTATAGTCTCACCTTTATACTATTAGAATATCTAAGTCGATAATGCAAAATTTATTTAACAGTCACAGTGGACTGATTATCAAGACAATTATTTATTTATTAACGTGTGTATAATGTATAATTAAATGAAAAATAATGTAATAACATATATTTTAAACGTGTATATACATATATATACTGTATAATCGAAAAAAACGGCGCCTTGTTTGTTTGGAAATGACAATTTCACAAATGGATATTAAAAATTACATTATTCATTGAATCCGTAAGCAAGTGTGAACGGAATTGGCTAGATTCATTATTATACCGTATAATCGAAAAAAAAACGACGTCCAATTGGCTTGTAAATTACGATCGATGACATTCCCCATATAATTCTACATATAAAATGACATAAAAACTATACAAAACGACATCGAAAAAAGACGGTGTCAGCGATGACTATGAAATGAAGATCGCTGTCATTTATATGTAAAATTATATGGGGAATGTCGTCGATCGTCATTTACAAGCCAACTGGACGTCGTTTTTTTTTTCGACCATACGGTATAATAATGAATCTAGCCATTACCCTTCACACTTGCGTACGGATTCAATGAATAATGTAATTTTTAATATTTGTTACCTTCAATCACAAGAATATCCTATTTTTAAGAATATCCGAATTTATCCACAAAAAAAATAAAACAATTCTAGAAGCTTTGTGTTATTTTATTTATCTTCAAATTTTTATTAATTACTCACTGAAACTATTATTATACACTTAAATTAGCAAATTTTTTGAAAGAATATTTAAAAAAATATATACTATATATATAAGAAGTAGCCCACCACAAGTTTGTCCACCCCCAACAAATCTTGGTAAATTAATATAACAATCTATACATATAGATTTTTATCACTAGAATTCTTTTCATTTTTGAGAAGCCATACCAGTTTTACATATTTGATAAAATAATTTATACATTTTACATGTAAAAATATATAAAAAAATGTTGCAGAAATTGTATTTCTGATTATAATTCTCTACGCCACTGGTGAAATCCGGTCTGAGTAGCAATATTTATAGTTTCAAACATTAATAATACAGGATATTGAAAATACTACTTGGAATTATTAAAATAGTTGGGTTTGGATGTGGTACAAGACATATTAAAAGCATTTTACATATTTTACTGCTATAATGAAAAAATGTACATTTTATGATCACATAACAAAAGTTGTGTATCGATTTTTACCTGTGAATGTATTCCAAAGCCATTTTTCTGCTTCGGCCTTTGCAGCCATACGCTGAACATCTCACCATACTAAACAACACAGTTTATAAATTTAAAACAAAACAGTTGTCACAAAAAAACATAAAAATTCGCTCGGTGTCACCTCGAAATCTTGTCACCAAAGTATGGCCGCCGATCGAATTTTGGCCTCACTAACCGATCACGGGAAAATATGCGTGTTACCCGTCCCCTCTCTTTCCTTGTCTAAGTTTCACATATATAATAAGGGGTTTTCGGAAATAAAATCCTAGATTAGGTAGTTTACTAATCAGCTGTTCCAAGATCAGTGCTGAGAGTAATCAGCTGGTAGTTTAATTACGAACGGTTGGATCATTAGATTTACCGGGTTAACAATCATATTTAAATATATTTCGTAAAAGAGATAAATTAAAACAAATAATCCTAATATCCCTCTTTAACGATTGCGATTCTATTTTTATCCTATTTGTTTTGCTCTTTTAAGTATACTTTTAGTTTCAAGACTATTTTTTATAAAAACAAAATGTAAGTTTTTATTTTAGGCTTTAAAATTATGCCATTTTAAACAAAACACTATAAACTTTATTTTAATTTTATTTACTGCCAACATAATAAACATTCAATAATAAGTATCAATTTTTATCTACCAATTGTGATGAAAATTTCAGAATTGTCTATCAAGTTCATTCTTTCATTATGCCTGGCTATTTTAATCTAAATGTTTTTAAACCACTTTTCTGTAGTGTTGCTTTTATTTTTTTTCCTGCTGCGTTCTGATAGTGCTTTTTCGCAGTCAGTATCTTTAGAATTACTTGTTGGTTTTTTATTTATTTAAAATCTAGAGTTACTTGATGCTATGCTGATTGGCTCATTTTACGGTCACCAACAAATATCGCCATTTGATCAACATTAGATAAAGTGATTTCGGACAAAACGGTTATTAAAAAACTTTATACTTCTATGCGACCGTTACGTTTAAAATTATCCTAGAAATGATCAGTTGATTAATTCTACCCACCTCATTAGAGGGTTAGCAGGATCACAACATATGGCAAAAAAAATCGAGTTATTCGGATCACTTTCCGAACGCATTGACTCGTTTTGAGATCACTTTTCGAACGTCTGGATTAGTAATCCTATCAATCCGATCAATCAGATCACAGTTTCCGAAAAGCCCTATAATATACTACACTTTTTTCCAGCGATAAAAAGAGTTCTATTAGTGAGAGCTGTTGTGCAATTAGGAAAAAAAAGTCTGGCTAATCTCTGAGAATAGGTAATATGTCTGGCAGGTGAAAAATTGGATAAAAATTATTGAAACTATTGCCCTTATTTTCGCAGTCCTAAAAATTTGTCAGATGATAGTTTATATTACAATTACAGCTGCAAATATAGTCTCATGTGGAACATCTTCTCGTCTTGCTAGACTAGTCCAACGCTAGTCAGGCGCGCTAAATACTTTATCAATTATACAAATAATGATTGTTGTCATCTCTACATGTTTTTACTTTTCATAATTTATGGTAAGAAATGTATTGGTTTAGGGCAAAATTTGACTATGGCCAAAACACTTTTCCTAAAAGTTTGACCCCAGGAATCAAAAAACAAGGTTTTAGTCCGTCCGTCCGTCATCAAAAAATTTAATTTGCCAATAAAACTTTGTAATTATCAGAGATATAAGAAAGTTGTATTAATAAATGTCAAATATTTGTTTTTTGTGTAGGAAATTTAATTATCTACAAAATCGTTATCTTGCCTTTATTTTGTACCTCCCTTTGTTTTTGAGTTATAGCAATAAAAAATCTGGTGAAGATGACTTGTCCTAAAGTTCTGAGCATATGAATGTGTTCGGATCTAGAGCGATTTTTGAAATTAACAGTAATGTTTCTCGATTTTGCTATATTGAAAATCACGAAATTACAGAGTATCAAAAATTTTCGCATTTAAAAATACGAAATATGCGACCTGACTTGTGAGTGCGGCTTTCGTGATTGTAAATGACAGCCATACGTATATTTTCTATGAAATTATAGTAATATTTATCATGTGACAAATTTTC